AATCCTGAAAGCCTGCATTGGATCAGAGGGCTTGTGGTTGTTAGCAGGAGGCACTGTAGGGGATGCATCCGTCTGCGTACTCGCCCACTAAAGATTCCTTCAAGGGTTACGAATGCGGTTATTTATTGGCCTCATTCGGCGTTTCATAAATGCATGCATCTGATGCCAAGCCCCATGACTCAGTACATGCATCTGTGGGCAGCCCCATGGTTCAGCTCGAGACATACTAAAGGCTTTGTGTTTTCGGTACAAAGCCTTTAGTACGTCTGGGCTTGAAAACCTTCGTATCTTTAAGAGTTCTCTTTCATGCATCTCCTTGCAAGAAACAACCGCTCCACTGATATGAATGTGCACTCAGTTCTCATGATGCATCATGCAGCAGCTGTAGCCAACTTAGCGAAGTTGCCAAGCGTTAGAGAGAGAGAGCAGCGTCGCAGGCCCACCGAGACAGTCAGCAAAATTGTTGTGCCGTTTTTGCATTTTATACACATATCATAAAGTGTGCAATGCTTCTAGATTGCGAGGGCACTGAAGTACTTAAGCCGATGTAACTTTTTTCGTTGAGCTTGGTTCTTCTGTGAGCGAAAGCCCTCAAGGCTTTCTTTACGAAGTTTGTGGTTCCTGGCTTTCAAACACGAGTTTAGTGGGATGTACTGTAGTTGTCGAGGTTTTCAGTGTCGGCGGCAATCGATCGCCAACGAATGGTTCTCTTGGTTCTGTTGTTTTTGTTGCCCTGCTGAGACACTACATGAACTAGCTCAACACGTCTTCGGCATATCCTTGACGAGAGCACACTCAATTTGTCCTGTTAAACTGTGGCGTTACGGGGCATTTCAAACCTGAATGCATGTGGAAGTGTCTACTGAACTGGTCAGGTTCATTCTGGTCTGGACAGTTACCTGGCGGGGTCTNGAATGCATGTGGAAGTGTCTACTGAACTGGTCAGGTTCATTCTGGTCTGGACAGTTACCTGGCGGGGTCTCACTGTCACCTCAGAAGCAACGACACGATTCAAATAACAGATGAGTTCAATTCGTAAATGACAGTTTCTTATGCGCGAGGAATATTTGTCGCTGCTAACTGCCTAAATGTATGCATTTTGAGCTACGCATCAATGGCTGATCGCCGCAAACCACCGTTAGATCGTGCTTTTCTTTCAGGATTTCCGGGTTGTAAATGCCGTGGGCAGTTGCAACAGGGAAATCCACAGTAAAAAAGAGAAGCTGGCTAATTGAATGCGAAAACCACGGATGGGGGGGTGCTGCTTAAGTAATGGAAGTATCGTACGCACAACTAACACAGCCAGCATCCTACTTCACCGGAGGAACGGGGGAGACGCATGCCACACTTTAAACGGAAAAGGCGGGGCCGCCAACATAATATATTCCAGTGTAGAACTGCATTTTTCACCAAACACTGCTTTTGATGGTGGTATAAAGAGCTCCCTTCTCCCCCCCGGCTGAACACCAGGCCTGGAAATCCACCGGGGCACCACCAGCTGCGATATGCCTGGGGAAGCAAGCATACCTTTTGCAACAATTGGAGCACCATTGTCTGTGTTTCATTATATTGTGCCGGAAACTTCGTTCGCCCACCCTTGGGAATCAGTATCATGAAGAACAGCTGATGCGCAAGGTCACTTTATGATCGAGGTGACCCCACATGGACTCTCCGCCGCCGCAACTTCCATCGACAACTTAAATTACCACCCCCAAAGAACAGTTATATTTGTGAAATCAAAGTTAAATTTCCTCGTAGGACTCAATCGAGCAAACAGATGAACTCCACGGCGCAGTCTTCACGAGAGGATGTGCCGTCTCTGACCCAGCTGAGGAACGCAGTGCCCAGTGTGCTTCGCACAGAGCAGGAGGCGCATAACCAGCGTTAGACTTATCCTAATGGAAGGAAAAGTTGTTGAAATAACCAGAGAGAAGCTGGCAGCTCGGAAGGGAGAACGGGAGCTTGCGTGTGTCTGCCGTATTTGGCAGAACGGCTATCTGCACTCGCTCTCTAAACCTGGCATCTATCAAACCTTCCTCCTTTTCGCCATTCTCACGCGTTGGGAGTCTGTATTCGCCCCAGGGAAAGAGGCAAGGGTGTGTGCCGTTCCGGGCAGTGGAATTCTCGTAAATGTTGTGTGGTGTGCATTCCGCTGCAGCTGCGAAGGAGCTTTCCCCTCCACCTGAAGGCGTTTGCTACGTTAGTCGCGTGTGTCCAAGTCCCCCGACAACTGAGCAAATACAGTATTCTTCATGTAAACTATTCTAGTTCCAGCCCCGCTTGCAGCGTCGGAAATATTCAAAGCCACCGAAGCGCGGACCGCTCGGCCTCGCAGGAGTAAGCAGACTGAGAGTTTTAAAGGTGCTGCGCCTGGAACTCTCAGCACAAAACCAGTGAATAAGCGTCTGAGTAAGCACTCCCCGACAGCTGCGAACTGTTCGAAGGAACAGTGTCAAAGTCAACCAAAAAAGAAAAACCGAACGTGCCCGGTTGTAGCTGTTTGGGGCTGTATAAAGTGCAGAAGGCATCACCTGCCCCTCAGTATAGGCCATGCGTTGAACGCTTCGGCCCTGCTGCCCACGCGCGCAGGAAACAAAATATCCGCGGCCCCCTATAAGGGGCATTTTGCCAGGCAGCATGTAAGCCCACGATTCATGCATAGCAGAGCCATATTCGCATAAAACCATGCGGCGAACTGCCGATGTAAAAAAAAGGTAAGGGCTTATCTGGGTTTCAAAATAATACAGCATGCATTAGCAAGCAATAGAAGACCAGTGGCCGATGGTGAGCATCAGAGCCCCACCATATAAACATGCACATGGCCCAGTCTTGGCGATCTCCCAATCATTATGCGTCCTCTCTGTATGCGCATTATAACTAACCAAGCAGCGCAAAAATAACCATGTATCCAGGCTACCGCCACGAGATCCTTCGCATATAGTCAACGTTCAATAAAGTATGTGAGTCGGTCTCCAGCTGAACCAGACGAAGTCCAACGAGACAGTCTACAGATAGACAGCACATACAGCAGCAGGAAATCGCTTTTTTCTGGAGGCCTCTCCAGTACTACATTCATTTCAACAGTGCAATCTTCCAAGGACTTTGTTTGTTGCAGCGGCACATATCCCCTTCACTATCAAGGAGCCCCGCCAACCCCATGCATGTGCAAACGATACTTTAAACATCCGCGCGCTTGGGTTGGCCTCGACTCCCTCCTGAGGATGCGTTGCTAAGACCTTTTGCCCAAAAATCGAGGTCCGAAAGGTCAAATGGTGTTTTGGCTCCAGCTGGCCTCGAAACTCCTTCCGGTGGCCACGGCCCAACGGGGGCGCCCAACGGTACTCCATAAANGCTCCAGCTGGCCTCGAAACTCCTTCCGGTGGCCACGGCCCAACGGGGGCGCCCAACGGTACTCCATAAAAAGGCTCATCGATTGCAACAGGTGAACTTCCCTCTTCTCGTTGATCATCTACACCCGAGTGATCACCTGATCTCTGGATGTGGTCTGTCGTCTCCGTGCCACCGCGCGTCCCTCGTAGTAAAAGAGGGCTCTTGTGTTCAGGCGGTGCCTGCGTTGCGCCTTGCGTAGCAGGCAGAGTGCTAGTGATGGAAGCTTCACCTTTCCCTTTTGAGGTGAGCTCAGGAATGTAGTGACTCTGTGCCTGTAATGCACTCTGAGTAGCAGATAAACTGCTAGAGGGGCGACCCTCACTTCTTTCTGTGCGGTACCCGGAATGAGCTGTATCCTGGAGAGGTCTCGGCGGAAATGCCGGAGAGGAATGGGGCCCATGCGCTGCTGGCGCATCTGCAACCCTAGGCAGAGAAAAGGAGCCAGGGAAAAACAATGCAGAAAACTGGCTAAATAACGAGGGTTGTTTGGGTCCAGTCAATGCTTGCCACGAGCNACGGCGAATTCTTGTTTCCTGTGCACCTCTTTCTTCACTTCGTCAATTTGGCCTTGGGTGTCAGGTAACGGACCACATTCAGCAGCTTTCTTGACACCCTCCCAACCAAAAAGGAGCGACTGCCCTGCAGTCACTTGCAGCTCATTAAGGCAGTACACTGCTTCCGGAATCCTGAGCAAATGGTTTCGACGTGTGACGAGTACCCCACAGACAGTGGTGAATGCTTGGAGGCTCGCCTGTTCCAAAGAGATTCCTCCCGCCCTTTCAGTCCAGTGTTCCAGCCTTAGCATCGCCTCATAGACTAACGCCCATGTTACCTCTTGCACGCTCAGTAGTTGATCGAGCAACTGTGCACGTTCTTGCTCAGTCATAGGTGGCAGTCTTCCGCGTCTTGCTCGACTGATCGAGAAAACATTTGCTTTTCTGCGTAGGCGACTGACCTGCCTCGAACGTAGTAGATCATGAGGTGAACAGTTCGCGACGAACCTCGCCAAGCTAAGGAGCTGAGCTGCCGCATCCCTTCTCAGTCTCTCCAACTGATCAGGAAGGAATGCAGATAGTAAAGTTTGTTCAAACGTGTAATATACGACAACGACATTTAGGAACTTGACGACGTCAGGAGATATCAACCGAGGAAATGCTCGCCAAATCGACCCAATCGCTCTCTCCTGCAGCAGCAATACGTTTCGAAGCCTCTGGTACATCACTGGGTCCATACCCGATGAAGCAACGGCCGGTTTATGACGAGACGGGAAACTTGGACCAACGCACTGTTGGAAGTCATCATCCCCGTCGGCCAGCGACCTACGCGATGCCGCAGCACGCGACTTAGCCAGAGAAGCTACGCACCTCCGAATAAAAAGAGCAAAAGCTGCAATGGCCACAGTGATGATGAGACGAGCGGACTGGTGGGGAGGCGCCTTTTTTCTGCGGTAGACCGGCGGAGGTGCAGCCCCCCTCTGCACCCAACTCCCTCCTGGATCTTCAAATACATCAAGAGCGGCAGAATCTCCATAGGAGGCGTTTCTCACCGATTTTAAGCCATTTTCAACGTGCTGTGCAACCTCCGGAGANCAGAATCTCCATAGGAGGCGTTTCTCACCGATTTTAAGCCATTTTCAACGTGCTGTGCAACCTCCGGAGAAACTTGCGCCGGAGCAGCGCCAGTGCCGACCACTGGTCCATACAACAGCACGCTGAGGCCAGCCAACCAAGCTACACAGATGCATATACGCGGTCTAGCACCTCTACAAACTGCTTCCGCAGACAGCGGAGGGAACCCCAGTGTTTGGAAATGCATGACTGGAACAAATGTGGAGAATTTGTTCGACACTTCTACGGACTCCTGCCTAGCCAGTGCCTGCTGAACGGCGTCACAAACAAGGATTGGTCGGCACAGCTTCCCAGCAAGCCTCCCATAAGAATGCTGAATGACCCAATTTATTCCGAAGACAAATATGTGGGGAGCAGTCTACATGAAGAAACCTCCCTGAAACCGATGCTTGAGGATGGACAGGCCGGAGACGACAGGCAACGCCTGAGGATAAGGAGAATAACCATGTTCCCCTGCGATTTACAACCGTTTTTACCTGTCCATTTTATGCTGGGGTTAAGCATTACACTCAAAAAACATATCGCTCTTTTCTGTGGGCTGTCAGCGCGCAGACATCTCGATTTCGTCCTGGCGAAAAAGCAGGAGAGGGTGGGGCTGGATTCACGTAAACATAGAAGGTGTTGAGAACGTACTCATGAAGAAAACGTGTTTCAATGATGAAGAAGATGTGTTTCGTTTGCTTTTGCTGTTTCCAGCGAACGTAGTGCTCGACCCACGCAGCTGGAGGGAGAGGCTTGGATCGATGCCCTCGAAGTACAGAAGGCTTGGGCAAAGTAAAGCTTCAAAACATGAAGGGCTGAGTGAGGGGTATTTGGTGAGTTCCATAGTTATTTTCGTCTTTTCTCTGCCATTACTCTCATTGAAAGGTGTGTATAGTGGACCTCGCGCTCGCCTTATTCGGGTCTCCTGTGTGACAAGGTGGCTCTTCTCAATCTGCGCAAGCAGACGCAACAATTCACCTATCTAATGCATGGTCTCCAGCAGTACGACCTGCTTTACAAGCAGTTGAATAGACATTTTATTTCACCAGAGATCATGCTTCCTTCATGGAGTGACTTCTGCTCAGAAGATGCAGAGTGGTCCGTCCGAACTTCGTACGTTATTCCTAGAATTTTTTGGTGCAGGTTGGCCACGTAGGGCCACTGAAGTGCTTACCAGTTGCCCACAGTGCTTGTGGGCTCATCAAAAGAGAATGTGTGCTCTCTTGCACGTATGGTTACTTTCTAGCAAGTTACAGCGATGTAGGGCCTGAGATACTACAGCGCTTAGGGATCGCGGGAATTGCAAGAATCTACTATGTTGTAAGTATTAACCGAATGCATATTGTTTTGGGTTGAATTTGTATGGATTGGTGGGAGGAAACCGGAAGAATACGGCTCCGAAGGCATGTGGCGAGGACCTACGCAACACAGCAGTTGTTTCTCCTGCACAGTGAGCTGTTCGATGTTGATTTCAAGGAGAAGGAAAAATATGAGAACCGCTNCAGTTGTTTCTCCTGCACAGTGAGCTGTTCGATGTTGATTTCAAGGAGAAGGAAAAATATGAGAACCGCTGTGCTTTAAAGATTGTAGACTGGTGACTATCCCTTGGTCTTGGTTCTCTGTTCCTATGCGGGGGCAACCGCTACGTTCAGAATTTCCCAGCAGTTGGGGGTGGAAGCACAGCTTGCTGTTTCCTATACTGATCGCACAATTTTACCCACCAAAGCCCACGGTCAAGGTATACTAAAGGCGTGAATTCCATTCATAATACTTACTACTGAATCTGCCAATTAAATTATGGATTAAGTACCGTTATCTGCTTTCCTTAGGGTGAGGCAAGGCGTAGCCCGGGGAACTATAGTGCAGTCGTGGTACGAGTTGGACTGGAAAGAAAGTTCCAGTACTAGCAAATTACTTAAAGATAAGAGATATCAAGTTTCCATACGGCTAGATACGCGGGCGTTCCGTTACATAGGCAAACAACTATCTCAGCACAGCGGATACCCCCCGGAGCAGCCAGTCACCCTGGCTACCCAGGAACAAGAGCAGCACCTATCCAGGGGTCTTCAACTGAAAATTCGGTTATCGCGCTCTGTTCGATCCATATATATAAGTTTTGCAGCCCTACTTAACGTTTATTGCTTGTTTTGTATGACTATTCATATTATGTCCGGACCCGGTTTCAAGTCATCGGATACAGGTATAGGTTTGATGTAACACAACGGCCCAAACGACGGTCGACCTGTGGGTTATTGATCATTCTCTATTTCGGGAAACCTCGGCTTGGTGGGCCAATTAGGTGTTCAGCAGTTGTGTACAGTGTTAGTGCATACAGCGGGAGATTGCTGGTTTTGCTCCCATGTATTTTTCTGTAGTTGCACCAATGTGCATTACAGCAAGGATAGGTAGCTTCATATCACACCAGATCCAGACCATTAGGTCTCTGAGCCCGCTAGGCCTTTAGAGAGGGAAGGACGTCGCCTATGTTTCAGAAACACTTCGGTGAGTGCTGTTGGTTCTAGTGTAGCTCACGACGATCCTCGGATAACATCGAGGACTCTCGTTAAATAGGCGATCGTCAAATGCTGACGCATTCTTCATTAGTTGCTCTCGCGGTGGCAACACTGCCAGCTGGATGGCCTGTGGGACCTGTGTTCGTTCCAATTTGACGAGTCACGCACCCGGTGGATGCCTTCCTGCCGGAGGGCACATCCTAATCAGCCTCCGGTAGTGCAGAGGGGAGGGCTGAGTTTTTTGCAAAGATTCTAAGGAGGTGTATGGAGGTTTTTCCAGTTGGAATGCCTTCAGAGCTTACCAGCACTATGCAGCAGGACGCCCAGTTGCTCGGGTGGTATGCGCTGCTCGCTCCTGGCACTTCGAAGAATACCCCGAATACATCAGAGAAGAGTGGCTAAAATCACTTTAAGTCTCTTGAGTGTCCAGGGGTTTTGGGCAAAACGGCGCAAGCGCCCTGGGATGAGACCGGGTCTTGTATATACGGTGCAACTAACACTGCTGCAACTCCTTCCAGAAATTTACCACACTTTCAAGAGCACACAAATCAGCGTTTGATGCACCAAAAAGACTGGGCAAGGGTTATGCACTTCCGTTGTCCTCAGTAGCCATCCTGCACCCGAAGAGCCTAGAAATAATCATACCAAGTTCAGACAAACCATTGCGCAACTTGTGGGCACGATATAACCCTATCAAAGAAATATGATCCCATGCGAAATAAAACGTTTATCTATTTGCTTGTAGAGCAAAGGATACTACGTGCTAGCACGGAATAGGTATGCTCATGCGGAGGTTGAGAGGAGCCACACCACCGGGAGACTGCAAAAAGGCAAGCGCGAGACCCAATACACACTCCTTCCAATTGTCATAGAGGCAAGAAGGAGACAAAAATAATTATAAACTTTGTCAGTTACCCCCCAATCCTCTCTTCATGTTTTGAAGCTTTACTTTGCCCAAGCCTTCGCTACGTCGAGTGCATCGACCCAAGCCTCTCCAAGAGCTGTGTGGGCCCAGCATTACGTTCGCTACAAATCGCGGAGGGGAAAAGAATACACAATTTTCATAAGATTTTTTGCAACACTTTTTATGACATTTTAGTCCAGCCCCACCCTCCCCTGCCTCTCGCCCTGACGGAGTCAAGATGCCTGCACGGCTGGCGGCGCGGAGACGTCAGCGATATTTCGCCTGAGTAAAATGTTTAACCCCAGCTTAAAATGAACAGACGACAACAGTTGCAAATTATTGGGTAACATGGGTGTTCTTTCTACCCGTAGGAGGTGCCTCGGTCTCCGGCCTATTCGTCCCGATGCACCGGATTCAAGGAGACTTTTTCGTGCCGCCTGCTCCCCATATATTTCTCTTCGGAATAAATTGGGTCTTTCAGNTAGAAGTGTCAAAAAAAAATTTTCATGTTGTTTCCAGTCATGTATTTCCAGCGATTGGGGTTTCCTCTACTGCCTGCGGGAGCAGTTTTCAGAGGTGCTAGACCGCGTAGACGCATCTGTGTAGCTTGGTTGATTGGCCTCAGCGTGCTGTTGTATGGACCAGTAAGCGGCACTGGCGCTGCTCCGGTGCAAGTTTTTCCGGAGGTTGCACAGCAAGTTGGAAATGGCGTAACATGGGCGAGAAGCGCATCCTATGGAGATTCTCCTGCTCTTGATGTATTTGAAGATTCAGGAGGGAGATGGACGCGGAGAGGGGGTTCACCTCCACCGGTATATCCCCCCAAAAGGGCGCCTCCCCATCATTACGCTAGTCTCATCATCACAGTGGCCATTGCAGCAGTTGCCTTTTTAATTCTGAGGTGCGCAACTTTTCTGGCTAAGTCTGATGCTACGGCATCGCGTAGGTCGCTGGCTGACGGGGATGATGACTTCGAAGAGTGCGGTCCTCCTACTTTTCCGTCTCAGGAAAATCCAGGGGGTGGTGCATCGGATATGAACCCAGTGCTGCAAGAGAGAATTCAGAACGTATTGCGGCTGCACGAGATAGCGATTGGATCGAGTTGGCGAGCAGTTCCTCAGATGCTCTGTCTCGATAGTCTCAAGGTCCTAAATGTCCTTGTCGCATATTGCACGTTTGAACAAACTATACTATCTGCCTTCCTTGATTTTAATTTGAACAAAATGAAAATGAATACGGCAGCTCAGCTCCTTAGTTTGTCGAGCTTCACTATGAAAGGAGCTCCCAAGAAACAGCCAGAGTCGAGGCAGGTCTATCGCCTACGCCGGCAGACGATTCTCCATTCAACAAGTCGAAGCAGACGCGCGCAACTGCCTTGGATGACTAGGCAAGAACGTGCAAAGTTGCTTGATGAACTACTGACCGTGCAAGAGATAACGTGGAAGATAATCGCTGATGTGATGCAAGAGCTGGAGCAGTGGACTGAAACAGAAGGTGGACTTTCTTTTAGGCAGGTCAGCGACAAAGTGTACTTCACGGTTTGCGCAATACTCCGCACACGCCGAGGCCATTTGCTAAGGATACCAGCAGTAGTGCAATGCCTGCACGAGCTTCAAGGGGCTGCACAGCTGACGCTCCTCTTTGGCCCTAAGGGTCTCGAGAGTGCTGCTAAACGTGGTCCGTTACCTGATGCCCAAGGACAAATCGACGAAGTGCTGCAAGAGGTGGCCGCGAAACAACTAGCCGCCGTGAACGGTGAAGAGGACTTTGGAGGGGATGACGAAGAAACTCATGGAGGGTCTTCTGAGGCTGAAGGAGCTTTCTCAAGCAGTTCTTTGCCTGGTGACCTCTCCTCCGCAGCAACAACAACCAGCTCGGGGCAAGCACTGACCGAACCTGAACTAAGCTCGTTATCTAGCCAGTTTTCTGCATTGTCTCTCCCAGGCTCCTCTTCGTTGCCTAGGGTTGCAGGGGCGCCAGTGGGGAATGCACCTCATCCCCCTCCCGCATTCCCCTCGAAACATTTCGGGCAGCCGCCTCACTCTGGGGACACCACAGTATGGGGACGTGGGGCTCCCGTCTCTA